CATAAATATTCATGGAGCAGATGATGTCAGTAAGAGAAGAGCTTGTGAAAGTGGTATAAAAGGGAGAACACTCAAAAATGGTTTAAATATAAAAATAGTACAAAAAGTAAGGCAATAACTGATAAAACACAAATTTCTTTGTTGTAACTCTGCTTCTTGGCAATAAACTTTATATTATTGGAAAGCCTGCTTATTTCCCCTTAAATGGTATAAATGTCAGGAAAAAGCCTGTGGGTTGAACAACAGCTGAGAGTAAGAGGTCTGTGCCAATTAAAAACTTGACAAATCTTCTGCCAACGCCAAACAGCGTATCCTGCTGTGAACCTTGTTTTCAGTTTCTGGTACCCCGGATGGTAACAATTAGGAAACTGTCAGCATCTGTGAGCAACTAGTGGAATTTAAATATCTGCACAGCATGAGACCGAACTCTGTTCTCCAGGACAGGGCCAGCCATGGCATAGGCATCCATCCACCCATTATCTTTTACTTGCTTCTTTCTTTTTGGGTCACGGGGGTCACTGGTGCCCATCTGTGTGAGAGGCACACCTGGACAGGTCTCCAGTCCATCACAGGGAACACAGAGACAAACGCCACAAACAAACATTCACTCTCTCACTCTCACCTAGGGACAATTTAGAGTTGCCAACCAGCCTAACATGCATGTTGTTGGTCTGTGGGAGGAAATCAGAGCACCTAGAGAAAATCATGTAATATGCAGTATAGGTAAATGCTAAGGGCATTGTCCATACAGGGGACGCCACAAATGTGGGGATGAAAAACTTTTACTTTTCTTATAAAAGCAAATAGGGGATATTATTTTCTATTGTGAAAAATACCTCACTGATTTAGCTGTATAGGAAAGCATATTAAATACTAGTACTATTAACAATAGTGTTTGACTTATTTTGCCCCCTGCTCCCAAATTTCCTTAATTTTTGAGCTAAGTTTATATAATATTAGATTGTTTTCAATAAAAAAAAAAGATTTCGTTCTTTAAAATGTTTCACCAATAAATCTGTTATAAAGCATGCAAATATTGCACAATATCTTACTGCTTTTTTGACAAGTGCATTCAGAGCAAACTAAACGAGTGGTAGACTCTGTTGTCACTTTGGTTGCTTTAGTCACTTGGCGTTTTGTTGTTGTGGTTGGCAATGTGGCAGATGTTGGCCATTTTGATGGTGTTGCTGGAATGTGTGCTGTTTGTGGGACTGCTTTACCTAAAACTGCAGAAATTGTAGTCAGGAATGCAAATTGCAGTCTTAAAAATTAGCTTTGGTGACAGCAATAGAATTACTCAAGAAATTAGCAAAGTCTAAAAGCACGAAAGTAGAACAGGTGGAGAAAACACAGCTGGAGGACTGTCAGTGCTTTGGGATGGGGGCAGGAGCCCACAACAGCACCCACTGCTCACTGGTTAGTGGTTTTCTTAAGGCTACACAGCTGTTCAGTCTCAGTCCCTTGAGTTCCTTCACATTGTGTGTGTGGAAATGTTCTTACTTCCACTATTAAACATAGTCCTGAGTGCTACTGTTGTTTTTCTTCCATTTGATTTCAACAAACGTTTAAACGATGGCCGATCACGATCATTCGGGATTTTTTCTGGCCACATTTTTTCCTCAAAGATGATGGGTCCCCACTATCCTTCCAGTTTTTAATAATGCGTTGGACAGTTCTTAACCCAATTTTAGTCGTTTCTTCAATCTCCTTAGATGTTTTCTCTGCTTGATGCCAATGATTTGACCCTTCTCAAACAGACTGACGTCTTTTCCACGACCACACGATGTGTCTTTCAACATGGTTGTTGAAGAAATGAGAAGCAACTCACTGCACCAGTTGGGGTTAAATAACTTGTTGCAGCTGAAAGATAATCGCCCGTGCAGTAATTATCTAATATGAAGCTCGTACCTATTTGCTTAGTTAAATCCAGGTGGAGACTTTTTTTTGGCCAGTCAGTGTAATTTTACCTATTTGTTTTAATAAGAAAAATAAAAGTTACTTTTCCATCTGTGCTCCTTTCATGTACTGATCCAGAGCCTAATCATCTTAGCTGCTGTGATGGCTGACAGGCTCTTCCATGGTGTGTAGAGGTACAGTAGGTGATTGGCCGGTAGTTGGATGGAATTGCCCCTTTCTGGGAGTCTTTCATGATCAGGGCAGTCCAGCTTAGGGTGAATCAACACACACGTCACTGTCTAGCAGATAAGTGAGGTGGTGAATTGTGGAACACTCATAGTGTTGCCAATGAAAAAATAATTTTTCACCAAGATCTTGAATTGAGGACTAGACACTAAGCATGATGTCATCACATCAAGATCTTGGTGAAATTTTTTTTTTTTCATTCATTCAACCTTTATTTAGACAGGTAAATCCCATTGAGCCTTGAGGACTTATTTACAAGAGAGACCTGATTTCAACAAAGAATGATGACAACAATGGACAAAAGCGACAACAATAGACAGTTATAAAAAAGCATACAGATTAATTTTTTTGTAACGAATAGGATGGCTAAAAAAAGAAAAGTAACAAAAAACAGCTAGATTCTAAGGCGAATGTAGAAAACTAAAAACAGGAACATGTCTGCATTGGTCCCTGCCAGGAGTCCAACCGATTCTTAAAGCCACTTAGAGAGGTCAAGGTCGAGAGCTTCAGGTATTTTTGTAAGATATTCCAGGAAACAGGAGCGGAGCAGGAGAAAGTCCTTTTGCCTAGTTCAGTCCTCGCTGAGGGGACACTGCAGGTAATAATGTCCTGAGAGCGCACGCTGTAGCTGCACTCACGCAGAGACATGAAGGAGGAGATGTTTGAAGGCAGCAGACCAAGAAGTGATTTAAAGATGAAAATGTACCAGTGAGAGAGTCTGCGTGAAGTTAAAGATGTCCAGTTAACCAGTGAATACTGGGTGCAGTGGTGGGTACGATAATCACAGCCAGTTATGAATCTTAGTGCACCATGATAGACAGCATCCAACATCTGCAGGATTCTTGTAGGAGCGTTCATGTAAATAATGTCACTGTAATCAATGGAGGGAAGGAAAGTCACAGATACAAGGCGTTTTCTAGCATTCAGGGTTAGACAGGATCCGTTTCTGAAAAAGAAACCCAGTTTAACTTTCAGTTTCTTTACCAAGTTTTCCACATGGAGCTTAAAAGAGAGATGTGAGTTGACCAAGATGCCCAAATATGATGAAAAATTAACGCAACACTGGATGGAAATAGATCTTGTGACATTGCAGAAGCTTATCGAAACAATGCCACAGTGAATGCATGCTGTGATCAAAGCTAAAGGATGTTGGTCTTTTTGATGAGGTTGTTGGAATGTGTGCTGTTTGTGGAACTGTTGTACCTAAAACTGCAGAAATTGTAGTCAGGAACGCAAATTGCAGTCTTAAAAATTAGCTTTGGTGACAGCAATAGAATTACTCAAGACATTAGCAAAGTCTAAAAGCACAAAGGTAGAACAGGTGGAGGAGACACAGCTGGAGGACTGTATAACACCAGAAAAACTTGCCAGATTTTTCGCTAGTTGCTTTTTGAAAAATAATCAGAGGTTTGAAAATTTGCTAATGACAAAGTTGCTAAATTGGCAACACTATGAGTGTTCCGCAATTTGCCGCCTTACTTATGTGCCAGACAGTGGCATGTGTGTTGATTCACCCAAAGCTGGACTGCCTTGATCATGAAAGACTCCCCGACAGGTGCAATTCCATCCAACTACCAGCCAATCACCAGGTGTGTGTGTGTGTGTGTGTGTGTGTG